AGGGTTGTGGGTTACCATTGGCGAGCTCGAAATTTGGCGGAAATTCAGATTTTCAATTGTTTTGTAATTAATTTTGTTTCTTCTAGATATCTTGAGATCGGTTCTTTCTTCTTCTTCTTCTTCTCTGCACAGGTATGCGGGTGCGTAGACCCCTGCACTCAGGCCTCTTCAGTCGGGCCCATATGTGCGCCCACTTGTCCTATGAATCAGCTGGGCATGCCGATTTCTTTGACGAAATTCAGCAGCTTCCTTAGCTGAGTCACTTTCACATCCTTTGGGTGCAGTACAATGCTCCCAAAGGCAGCTTTCCTCTGATGCACCAGCGCGGGGCATTCAGTGAGTATGTGTGATGATGTTTCTCATCCTCCAAGCACCATCTGCAGATAGGATCATCTTTGATCCCTATGAGTTCCAGGTGCCTGTTGAGGTGGTTGTGCCCAGTTAAGAGCCCAACTACCATGTTGAGATCGATTATTTCAATGAAAAAATGTCCCTATATTATAGGTACGAAAATGAAGGAAATTATATCAATTACAATCCATGTAACCATGTTCTATAAACTTTCTTAGGTCACTATTAATATAAAAAGCTGTCAATATCATGAAATGGTGAACACTGTCTGTGAATTAACCTATATAGGAGAAAACATATTCGTTGAACTAATTTTTCGAGATTTTCTCTCTTTCTCTCTATAATTACAAATTTGAGTATTATCTCTTTATACTTTTTTTTCGAAATAATATCATCGGCAGATGCATACCGAAAAAAATACTGTAATCACAGTTATGAAATTTTAGAGAGAAAAATCATAATATCATTTGATGAAAAGCTGCGTGATATTTCTGAAGAATTCCTATATACCTTAAGTTTTCAAATCGAAACTTTTCGACGTGTTTCGAGAGTTTTTCAAATGAAACACCCCATATATTTTCTCGTCATTCGATGTAAAATTACCATACACGAACATATATTCTATGTCCACTTCCATATTGATATTCGTAACCATTTTTGAATTATTGAACTTTGAAAATCATAAGTTGGGCAATTTTCATCGATACACATTTTTATCTGTTGTTGAAACATCAAAAGCCCAACTTTTAATTGGGTAAACCAAATTTTTGAATGAAGAATTGATGCCAGAATTGAAACGAACAGAAATAGTTAATTATGCTATTTACTCACAAAATAAAAAAGGACGAAATGTCCATTTCTCAATTATCCCATAATTTCATGGACATTGAAAACAAAACCAGGATGATTGGGAAATGAGAGTTTTTTCCTGCTTTTCTTTGTCGATAGCTAGCATGATTATGAACAATTTGTGTTCGTTTTGAAAAAAAATGGATTACTGAATTATTGATTCAACTTTTGATGTTTCAATAACAGATGAAAATGTGAGAATGTGTATCGATGAAAATGGCCAACCCAAAATCTTCAAAGTTCAATAATTCAATTATGGTTCCGACTATCAGTATGGATGTTGAGATGGAAGATGTGTTTTGATTTCACTTCAAATAACCGAAAAATATATGTATCAACCAAATGAAATGATGAAACGATGCTATACACCCCTTATAGCTGGTGATTATTCAACAATAACAATAGGTGTATAAACCGAAACTCTATATAGGAAAAAAGTTGCGTTCCATTTTGAAAAGTTGATTTACATTTTTTTTTTCATGAATTTTATGAAAGGAATTGAATTTTGATGTCCATGGTCGTAATCGTAGTCTTAGTTAAATCGTTCAAAAAGTGCTGTTTGAAAATAATCGTAGAAGTGCTCACAAACTCATTATGAATACAAAAATAGTTCCTTTGTTATCAGGGAAATCAGGGGAATCAAAGGAAGTGAGAGAATATGTATATGAGTGGGAACTAAGGCTAACTGTAGATGCCTCCTCTATAGGACTTGGGGCGATTTTGAGTCATAAGTTGCCCTCTGGCGAAGAAAAGCCCATAGCTTTCGCCTCTAGAACACTCTCCAAATCTGAGATAAATTATGCTCAGATTGAAAAAGAAGGTTTGGCCATTGTTTATGGAGTAATTAAATTCAATCAATACTTGTATGCCAATAATTTCACGTTAGTTACAGATCACAAACCTCTTTTAACAATTTTTGGAGAACATAAAGCAATTCCTCGGTTTGCTGCCAACAGATTGAGACGTTGGGCAGTCATTTTATCAGGATACAATTATAAAATTGAGTATGTACCAAGCAAAAAAAATGGTGCAGATTGGTTATCGCGTTTGCCAGTGAATGCCAATAATGCGAATTCACTAAATGATGATAATTTGGATGTAGATTATTGCTATTTTTTCAATAACGATTCTGGATTCACATTTGATTTTGATTCAATAAGGAAGGCTACCTTAGCTGATCCTATTTTGAATAAGATAAAAGGTTTCATTCATAGGGGTTGGCCTAGAAAAACGAATGACCCTGTACTGAAACCATATTTTGTGAAAAGGCTTGAGTTTGATTTAAGAAATGATTGTATAATGTGGAACCATAGAATAATCATTCCAGATTCTTTGCAAGGAGAGGCTCTGAAGCAGTTACATAATACTCATTTAGGGGTAGTCAAAATGAAAAGTTTAGCACGTGGTTACTTGTGGTTTCCAAATCTAGATAAACAAATAGAAGAAACTGTTAAAAGTTGTAGAGCCTGTATTGTCCATTATAGTGGTAGCCCTTAAAGCGAAATTTCACCTTGGCCCTTGCCACAAGGTCCTTGGGAGAGGTTACATGTGGATTCTTGTGAAGTGAATAAAAAATCATATCTTGTAGTAGTCGATGCTTATACAAAGTGGCTAGAAATTTTCGAAATGTCCAGTATTACTTCCACTAAGACAGTTCAAGCTTTGAGAACTATATTTGCAAGATTTGGACTTCCACTTCTTATCGTATCGGACAATGGTAGGTCTTTTGTGTCCGAGGAATTTGAATTTTTTTTGTCAGAAAATAATATCAAACATGTAACTAGTCCATCTTATCATCCTGCTTCAAATGGAGCTGCGGAGAATTCTGTAAAAACCTTCAAGTTAGCTCTCAAAAAGGCTCTTTTGATGAATTCTAGCTCAGATACCAACTTAGTTATGTGTCGGTTTCTGTTAAATTACCGAAATACTCCACATAGTACGACAGGGGTAAGCCCAGCTGTTTTGATGTTTGGTAGTACCTTATGAAACCGGTTTTCGACTCTTACCCGAAAGAAACGGTTCAGATACTACTGACATAGTGCAACTGGAACCAATTGATGACCAAGTACGTGAAAGGGTCGAAAAACGGCAGAAACAACAAATAATAACCAGCAACTCAGGCAAAGCTCACAGAAAGCAGAAAGAAAACTCAGAGCTGAAAACTTAATATTCTATGGAATAACAGAATTCGATGATGAAAAATAATCTGACATCATTTGTTCAGTCGGAAAAAAATTTCTTGCAGATCACAATCAGAGACTTCGATATAACTAATATCCACCGACTAGGAAGAACAGAACTAGGAGACCCGTTCTCATAACCCTTCATCCGGAATTGAAGAAGAGAGAAATACTATCAAACTGCTTCAAATTAAATAACCATCCGAAGATCTGATACCGAAGGATCTCGAAGATAGAAGGATACTTCTGCACCACCTGGAACCGGCAAGAAGCGACAAAAAAAAATATATGTTGTTGACATATCTACAAATGATTATATTAATTTTGAATATCATATCCATGATTGTACACATAAAATGAATCGACTCAACAAAAAGAAGATTTGGATTACACCTGCATCAGTTGATTCAGAAAACCATAAAAATTGACTCTATAATATAATGAAATGAAATCCAAATGAAGAGAACAAAACTAATTATAAAGAAAAAACAGAAATGAAATGAATATTCTGATAGAAAAAAATCTATCAAAATGAGATTATGTAATGATACACGAAACAAAACAAATTCCGCAGGTTTATGGAAATGTGTCAATGACATCACGATAAATAAATGTGAAATTCAAGAAATAACATCAAATGAATAAATCAAAGCACAAAATGGAAACATAAACAATTGAAGAAAATTCACAAACATCGGGAAAACATTGGCAGATGAGATAAAAAATAAAGGTAATGTAGTGCGTCACGTAGGAATGAAATTGTAACAATTCCTTTTTCGTTCCGAAACAAATGAACCAGAATGGATAGAAACTATTTCAAAGGTCAGAAAAGCTGCAGGATCAGACGGACTCACATCAGAGACGTTCGAACTAGTATCACAAAGTATTGTTAAACCACTTGCTTTCATCATAACGAATCTCTAAACAACCTCCTTTTTCTCCATGTCTTCATGATAACACGTTCTGATAACATCCTTCTACAGGACGTGCATATTATATAACTATTCTTCAAATTATTTCGACTGAAAGGAGGAAGGATAGTCAATACATTAATTTTGTTCAAATACTAATGTAAAAACTATGCATCTATTGCAGGCGAGTTTTAATCACTTCTGTGAGTTGAGAACGCTTTTTTTCGAAAACTGCTCATCACAAAATAATAAACTATGGTACTGTTGAGAACAGAATTGAACGACCTTCAAAATGATGTGTTCCTTGATCCCCCTTTCCAATTGACATTCTAAGGGTAGGTAACATCTACCTCTCCTAGGGGTTCAACCACATGGGATGAAAATATTGATCAAACGTTTTCCCGTTGAAAATAAAATTGTCTTGTCTTCTGGATTCTTTGTATTATTTACTGAAAGGAAGATATTATAGGGGTGGGAAGTCTCCAAATGGACACTCTCATTTATAATTCAGGTGCATGGAAATTGTATAATGTATATCATTTCGATAACAAGTCGACCAATGGATGCCTCATAATACGTAATTTCTACCTGCTACCTGATGATTCAATATACGTAATCAGATTTTATGATGACCTTATCAAAAACCCTCACAAATATTTTCTGGTACAAATAAATGGCGACGCCACTGAGAGTTCCATCCTATATCGTTCGGATCCGTTGACCCGTCATCGTCAATAATCAATTTATAAATATGTATAGATATAAATAATTATGTCAACAAAGTGATCGATCATCAAAAAATCATATAATAATAATGAAAGCAGCATTAAGAATGAATGCGGTTGCATTAATAACTTTTATTATTATTGCTGCTGCACAAAGTCGAGGGATTGAGGATACGACAGAAAATCCATCGGAAACAATTCCAACAGTGCCAGAATTGATCAAAGCCGAAGGATACCCTGTTGAGAGTCACTATGTGACCACCAGTGACGGTTATATCTTGAATGTCCATCGAATACCGCATGGAAATAATACCACGAAGATAAATAAAAAGGTAAAGGCATTAATGCTGGGATTATAGATTCCATTGTACTAACAATTGGGATTCATCAATTAACAATCAACAATATTAATCATCATGATGGAGTTTATACATATCTGATAATAATTAAGAATTAGATGTGGAATATCTTTTGATTAAGTAAATATCAAAATGTTGTAAAATAGTGATTTTGGTCTCCACAATTCATGAATCCATAAAAAATATCCCGAATGAATATCACCAATCTCTAATTAAACAATAACAAATCCAATCATCATGAGCTGCCTCCAGAATTTTCTAATTCTTAGTTGTTGAGTTGAAAATTGGCCAACTTTGTGATTCTTAATTCTTAATTTTAATTGACACAGATATAAATGATAAACCCTCATAGATGTTTCCTTGAATTACACTTTTTGAGTTCATACTTGTTAGTTCAATTCTGAGTTTAGTTGAATCTATAAACCAAGCATCTCATACAAATTCATTTTACAACACAGAACATTGAATGTATTGTACATTGTAAGTCAAAAAGTCATTCGGTTTCTGGATAAATTGGTGAACTGTGTAGTTTTGAATCAATTGAGAATTTATGTAATTCGACTTTCAGGCTTTTTATGAAACACGAAATAGCTCTAGTTTTATAGAGAAATGATCCTCAGTATTGTTTGTTTTAGCATATGACTTGAAGAAGAAATATAAAAAATACTGCAGTTAAAAAACGTTATAATATGATTAATTTTGTCATGCATTCATTGAAATATCAAAATGTGTTTTTTCAATTCATTTTACTTGATTTTTTGAGATTTTCTCTCCTCGTTTCTATAAAATAAAAATATGCGAAATGCATATCTTCCTGTATATTGATTGACATGTTTTTCATGCACATTTACGATAGTTGATATCACTCAACTGGGCCAAAGATATTTTTATTGATGATTTTCTTATCAACCTGAAGAGTAAGTAACCTCACTTTTACTAATCTCTGAATTTATATTCAACAATTTTCAATTTTATGATGATGTCTTTTTCGCTAGCTGAAAGATTACTACTACCACCAACACCATCACCAATTTTCAAATATCGAATTTAACTTTTTTCAAAAAATAAAATTATTGTTTTTTTCAATTCCCCCTGCAGTCTTTTTCAATAGCTAATAGATAATAACTTACTTACTCAATAACTTAGACACTGATGATGAACGTTAGTCGAATTCTCTCTGTAACGAGAAATTGAATGAAATTTATTTTGCACGAAATACAACTTTTTGTACTATTTTGGCATTTGGAATATCTGAACAGGAACCGTTTTGCGTTTGGCGGTATACAGTGATTCATGAGAAAGCAAAAAAACGCAATGTTTGGTTATGCCGACAAAGGGATCCCATCAGTAAGTGCGCTAAGTCCTATGCATGATTCAGTGATTTTTGATAAGATTATAAAATCATTCTTTGCTGGCCTTCGTGCTGGACCATGAAATTTCGTGCAGTATTGATGATGAAACACCCTAAACATACCATATATATATATATATACAAAATCTGATAGATGAAAAAATTTCCAAATGACCATGACAATTATGTTCGTCAATTGTCCCCTTATATTCTCAGTATTGAAATTAGAAAAATATAATAACGAATCGTTCCATAGATTATAGCAGTAGTTCTCAATACCTTCCATTTGTGATCCGTTTCGAGGATAGACATGTCAAATACCTGGTTTCCTTGTGATGGAAATTTCCATGAAACCACCACCACCATACATTATTCATTGAATCTCCTAATTGAAGCTCTTATAAAAACACGAATCACTCATGAAATCAGTATCAAACACTGATAGTACTTTAGTACATATAGAAACAATGAAACTGACCCCGCTTCTGATTGAAGACAACGTAAAACAAATTGACAGTGTCTGATTCTTACAGAGTTGCCAGATGGAATTGTCCCGAATCTTAACTTTAATAAAATAACAGATATTTTGTAAGCCAATCATCAAAATTATAGGTATACTTGTATCATGTGAATTACATCGCCAACCTGTAAGATTCCCATAGAAGAATGCGGAGTCTCCAATGTTGTACATTACATCAGTTTCCTGGAAGCCCCTCTCGAGAGATTACAACTTTGAGGCATTCTCACTCACAGTCAGACTTCAATATTCATAAGATCAACATCTCAATACTTTGTCTCTACTCGTATATTGAAATATTTTGTTTAAAAAGGAACTTTGATTGGAATCTCAAATAGTTATTTGGCGCAATCGGTACATCCGTGTTCTAATGTATCGAACGAGATAATTACGTTGATTGTACGATTTATCGGATATTCGAATATAGTGTGTTGATTCGTGGTGGAGGTGTTGAAAGCAAATAGGCTTTTTAATGCTCAAGAAACTTGAGGACTCCTACTATCATTCAATTATCGAGTTTTGGAACAATAATTGTCCAATTCTGCAAGATCCACGCACTTGGAGGAGGCAAAGATTGAAAGTCCAGACGTTATTTCTTAATCAGAGATGCTCAAAGTGTTCGTCCTTTATATTATGTTAGTACAATCCTTGATAATTTCAATCTTGATAATCCTCCAGCTGACTCAAAACGTTTCCCAGAACCCCTTTCAACAAATCGAAGTATGAACTCCCAGAATCTCTCAGAATCTAGTTCAATCAATCGAGTTAGTTGAATAAATATCGCTGAAGCATTATAATCTGAATATTTGAATTGTGTACCGCAATTTGACGGTAACCCAAATGAACTCAACCGCGATACCGAGCGGTTTGTAATTCGATAATCCATACATTTTATGATCGAGTAGATCCAAATAGTTCTCATTACATATATATTGGTTGAATTATTCATCAATGGCTCAATTGAGCAGTAGTGCAAAAATTAGTTGTCAATCTCCAAAATACTTTCACTTGGCCGGATTTCGAAAATATCCTTTATAGGAACTTTGCTTATCAGAAAGACAAGAGTGGTCTCGATCGGGATATGATCGTTATGAGACAGTACCCGAATGAGATACCTCAGGAGTTCTTTTGTGTAGTTATGTAGACGTTCACGAAGATACTGCGGAAGCGAAATCTCTGAAACGCGAACTTTATAATAATCTGACATTGAGGAAACATTTTTCTCCGGCCTAAGAGAACCTATGGGTACGACAATTCGTTGTGTGCAGCCTAACTCACTTGCTGAAGCTTTACAACTGTTTATGCAAGAGGATAATGTCCACTATTTCCAAAATCACTCTAATAGAGGGTTAAGAGAAAATCACCATAGAAATCAAACACCCAGTTACGCCTCCAAATCAACAAAGCTATAATACACCAAATTTCAATGCTCAGAAACAAAAAAATAATCTCAGATAACATTGTTCATTCCCTTCAACAACATTCAATAATCAACCAAGTGAATATTTTTCAAATGCTCATGTTTTTGGTCAGCCGCAGAGGAAGAGAGATGTTTGCAAGCAAAATGATTCAAATTCCAAATTTCCTAGGCCGCTGCCAATGTGTACTTGCACAAGAGATACTTCAAATAATTTTTGCTCTAATAACCAACAGCCTACGCTATTGAGCGACGAGCGTGTCCACGAGAAACACAAATAATTTCCGGTCGAACCCTTCAACGTCTTTTCAAACACAACCGAGGAAAGACTTCCATCTCTTAGAAGCTTTTCAACACAGAATGTGACCCACAATGTGAAGATAATGAGAACTTCGACGAAAATCAATATTATGCATCTCACAATACTGAAGAAAGCTACGAAAGAAAATAAGTTGATGTTGCCGACAATAATTCATCTGAAAACTTTTGCTCAGCTCCGCCAAACAAGAATCAAAAATAGAAACACAATCATTTGTTGATCCTGAAATCGCCTATAATCTCTTTCCAAATTTCATTATCACTCACAATTTATCCTATTCAAGTTTCACAATGTTTTCGACGATACAATTTGAAAGTACAAGCGAGTGTTAACATCGAAAAAGGCGTTCTGTTCACACTAATATAGTAAATGAACTAATTTTTCCATAAAACTCGAAGCGAACTCGACCTTATAACATTTATTGATACTCGTACAGAAAAAGTGATAAAATACTTCGATACGGAGCTGTGAAATGATAATACTTCACCAAAAATTCCATAACAGTGAGATTCCTGAATGCTCAACAATTGCCAAAAATGGCAAGGCACTCACTACTATTTTGAATAATACCACTGATTCTGACACTTCGGATTTTTTAGAACCAATAAAAATTGGGATCTTCCCAAGGAAATGAATTCATGAAATCTATTTCAATAACTTTGACGAATCAGTAGATTGATTCTCGATCTGTCCAAAATTGGGACAGATGAACATCTGCAAGGAATCTTCAGATATTTTTCAGTAAAAGATATGTTACTAACGATTACGAATAGAAACAAGCACCAAATTCGTACCACCGACGAGATACCCGTCCAATAAAGAAGAGGTGGAAAGTCGAATGAATAGAATGTTGAATCAGAACATATATGAGACCAAATGATTTCTCATTGTCATGCCCTATTCGGGTACCTAGTCCCAAAAAAGGCTGACGCATCTGGAAAACAAGAGTGGAGAGTAGTTATCGACTATCGAGAACTTATTGAAAACGACGATGAATACCCACTTTCTGATACCACTGACCTTTTGGACGACCTTGGCAATTGTCAACACCTTGGACTTGTCAAGCGGATTCCAACAAATAGAGATGGAAACTGGTTATAACACAGAAAACGGACACTGCGAGTATCTATACGTATGCCGTTTGGCTCAAGTGCTTCTGCATCCTTCCAAAGAATAATGGATAATATCGTCCACGGAATTCAGAACGAAAAATGTCTCGATTCTATAGTTGTATTTTCATTGCAAGAATATTCTGATTATATCGTCTAAGTAATAATCTTTGGATTTCTGAGCCTATCAAGCATCGAAATGTCATTGTATCCGGGCCACAGCCATTTTCATGTGATTCACTAAAATGCAATTTAACAGGCAATTAATGAATGCATATCAAATTGTGATACATAGTTGAATAGAGAATTCCAAGGCAAATAGGAAAGGCTACATAAATATACAAAGAGCCATTTGAAAAAAAAATGGGTCTACTTTCGATCAAACAGGTGGTTGAAGAAAATTGTCATTGGGTTCAAGGGAAGCGCCATCATCGATAATATAACCCTTGTGAATTTCAAATTTGCATCTCCTTCAATGAAAAAACTACAGGCTGTCACAGATCTCCTGTGTCACCCGGTATAGTAGTTATCTCAGTAGATTCTATAATGCCTGCCGGCGGCTTCGAATTCGCCTCTCAATTACTTGTCAACTGACCGCAACCATGGCATCGAGAATTAAGTAATTTTTGCGATGATAAAGATTGTGACATTTTTCCTAACCCATCCAGGTGGCTTTCCTTCAGCACGGCCTGCTGTCGTCATCAGCCGATTGGGTGCTGCTTGGCCCGCGGCGCTCGCTGGCCTTCGTGCTAGCGGACGCGGGGTACGACGTATGGATGGGGAACAACAGAGGCAACAAGTACTCGCGCAACCACACGACCTTGGACCCGGACAAGCGGTCCTCGTTCTGGCAGTTCAGCTGGCATGAGATCGGCACGGTGGACGTTCCAGAGACGATCGACTACGTGCTCCGAGAGACAGCTGTCGATGGTTTGTATTTTTTTATTCACAATAATTATATTGTCAAGATACAATTCTCATTCGTATTCTATTCAGTTATTTTAAATTTCAAATATTCTATTCTAAATAAATATATTTTTCATAGCTTATTTCACATTTCCGGAAGACAGAATAGTCGATCGTTATTGCCAGCTAAGGAAATCAGGATTCCAATTTCAATTATTATTATTTCAATTTGAAATCATTTTCACCAAGTCGCTGGCACCTATGAACGGTTAGATTATCACTGACAATTATTTTTCGAAACGAGGAATATAGAAATTGATTAGGAAGCCGACATTACGATTTTTGAAAAGGTTCATTTTCCGATCCTACGCGTCACTCGTATTCCACCCCCCATGGAGAAACGCGCTCTTGGGGAGTACATGATTTCTTTGTTCAATTTGTGTTCCATTTTCATATGATTTCAAATACCAGGTGTTCTGTTTATTCTGTCTCGTTGACGGTCGACATCTCTTTATTATGTTACTCGCATTTTCTTTTTTCATTCGTAAGTTTTTTTGGTTGAGTAAAAATTAATATTGTTGAGTTGAATCTGGATTGTTCATTTAGCTGCCAAGCGACAAACACCCATAAGTCATAGGTTTGAATGTCTCGGGAAGAATAAGGTATACCTACAATTCTACCCCTGGAGATTTGAACATGACATTTTCCTACAACTGTCAAAATATTGCACTTCTTTATATATTTGGTGTGTCTGAAGTGTTAAACTCTTCAATATCAAAATACTGTTTCATCATTTTACGGCAAAGTGTGAATAAAGTACACTTTATTTCACGGTTGCTGCTGGGCGTGGAAGGCCTCCATACAATGCGTCGTTGGTAGGCTGTTCTGTTCTTCAGGAGACAGCTATCGATAATTCGTATTCGTCTCTAAATCTGAAGTAATAATTTCCTAATTGAGGATGTTCATATCCAAATTCGGACTGGTCATGAGCAAACTGGAAGGAAATGATAGTAGTTAACCCCTATAGCCCAGTCCCCCCTCCAGCATTTGGTTAGAGGCCACGCACACTAAACCGCCACGGAACATCAAGAAATGTCACGGAACACCACTAAAACGTCACGGAACCTCATAGAAATGTTCCGTGACATTTCCGTGATGTTCCGTGACGTTTCCGTGACATTTCCGTGGTGTTCCATGATGTTTTAATGAGGGTGGCCTCCAACCAAATGCTGGCCCTTTCGGGAAACGTGGAGGGCAGGGGCTGGGCTATAGTGGCGGTATAACTACTGATGTCAAGAAATCAGTTATTAGTATCGCATTACTAAACCAGGTGAATAGCTCGTATCTTGATGACATCTTGGAACATCAGCGTGTGTTTGGGTGCTGAATCCAATACGTGGAAACAGTATTCTGAAATCGCACAACTACACGACACTTCGACGATCGACTATGTGCTGCGTGAGAGAGCTGTCGAGTTTGACGATTATATCATTTTCGACTTCAAATTGAAACTATTATTTTATGGAAACACAGTTACTGTCAAAGCTACACCTGATATAGGGCAGACGTTAAGTTCTAACAAATGGATAAAAGTAGTAGATTATGTATCTAATTGTCAGATGAGGCCTCTAATAGAGCGTTTATGTAGTATTGATTGATGTTAGGTAGTTTGGAACTGTCAGACCGCTGAATTGGTGATTTCCAGGAAAGCAAATTGTTCTGAATATGTCATAGCTATATTAAACTACGAAAAAGAAAAAAATTACTTAACTCCTCTCCCTATCCTTCCTAGGAACGCACGATGTTCTTCGAACATCATCGAGATCCCCTTTTGTGATGAAAAAAGTCGGTATCTGAGAATGTTGACTTCCCAATCTGTGATGAATTAATTGATGATTTGAAGTAGTACATAAAGGGTTTTACAATAAGAGGTATTATTTTGAGTAGCCCGCTTTTCTGGTAGATATCACATTTGAAGCTGTCTTTAATTGAAATCTGACAAGTAGAAACTATGTCATTCATAAAAATGGAACGACACACGTTCCAACTACGCACTGGAATTATTGAAATTCACTATAAAACTGGTGAAAATTTGGCAGAAACGTTTCCTAAAACTCGAACATTTCTGGGTCGTTGTGAAGCACCTTGTCGAACCACAATACAGAAATTGGTGGAAAAATTTAAGTCGTTGGGAAAACTCAGTGATGTGAAGGATAAAACCCAAGCACGTTGCTCTAGAACAGCCGAAAATAATACTGCTGTAGCCGAAAGTGTTGCAGAGAACCCAGGTTTGTCCATTCGTCGTTCTTTGGAATTATGCATTCCACAAACGTCTAAGGCTTATGAAGTTCAGTTAACAAAATAACTCATCAAGCCGGCCGATCATCAACAACATCGTGTCTATGCTGATTGGATCCTTCAAATGCATGAAAATGATCCGGAATTCTATCGAAAAACCATATTGAGTGATGAGGCCCATTTCCACCTCGGCGGCTTCCTCAACAAGCAAAATTATAGCTTCTTGGGCTTGGTAAACCCAAGAGTTATTGTTGAAGAGCCTCTTTATCCTCAACAGCAGCAACAGTTACGGTGAATGGATTTCGCTATCAAGAGATGATAAATGATTTTTTATGACGGGAATTAGATGGCATTGATCTGGACAACGTTTACTTTCAACAATATGGCGCAACCTGCCACACAAGCAATGAAAACATTGATTTTTTATGGGAAAAGTTTCCAGACCGTGTTATCTCTCAAAGAGGTGATCATAATTGTCCACCGAGATCTTGTGATTTACCACCTTGCGACTTCTTCCTTTGGGGCCACGTGGAAAAGAAGCTCTACGCCAACAGCCCAGCGTCGATTCAAGACCTCAAAAATGGAATTCGTGAGGCTATCAAGGACATAGGGCAGCCACTTTGCGATTTGCTTATGGAAAATTTCATGAAAAGAATATGGTCCTGTAGGCGTGGTCGTGGTGGTCATTTGACTGATGTTATTTTCCACTATCAACGCCATACCTTCCTCTTTATAATGAAATAAACATTAGATCATTCATATCAAAAAATGGAATTTTTCTTTGAATATCAAAAATAACACCTCAATATCAAAATTGCGTTTTTTATTCTTGTACATGATCATGAAGTTATATCATTGTTGCAGGCGTCTATTACGTGGGCCACTCGCAAGGCACCACAGTCGTCTACGTGATGTGCGCCACCAAACCCGAGTACAACAACAAGCTGAAGGCCCAAATCAGCCTCTCGCCCGTCATCTACGTAGGCCACATAGTGTGCCCGCTGCTCAGGACCATGGCCAACTGGGAGGGCGTTCTGACCCTCAGCCGCCAGATGATCGGCATGGACGAGTTCCTGCCCGGCAAAGGGCTGCTTTCCACCGCACGAAGCGCACTCTGTTCGGCAGACTTCGGCTCCGCCGTGTGCGGCAACGCACTGTTCGCATTGTGTGGGTTCAACGCGCAACAGCTGAACGCCACGACTGACGTGCCGCAGATCATGGCCTACGCGCCTGCTGGCTCGTCGACCAAGCAGCTGCTGCATTTCATCCAGGAAATCAACTCGGGCGAGTTCCGACAGTTTGATTACGGGTACTGGAGGAATTTGCAGCGGTACGGGAGTGTGTCGCCGCCTCGGTACGATTTGCACAAGGTCACGGCGCCTAGTTATTTGATGTATGGCAAGAACGATTGGTTGTCGGATACGGGGGACGTGGAGAGGGCTTACAAATAGCTGGGAAACGGCAAGGAACTCATTTTGATGGCGGATGATTCATTTAGTCATCTGGATTTTATGTATGGTGTTGCTGCTCCTACGGTTGTTTTCCCGAATATACTGAGAATTTTCAGTCAGCATTGATTCAGTTTGAATAAATATTCACTAATATATTTGCGAGTAGACTCTTCATTTCTATTGTTTACATTTATAATACCTATATAACTAGACTCATTCCTGGAATCTATGCAGAATCTATTTCCTGGTACAGGTTACAAAAATGTCCCGCAGGAAGACGTGAAGAATCACCACTTGGTGGTTGATCTTGCTGATATCTGACAGAAACACTATCGAAAATATTGCAGCACTCATGGTATTACGGCTAATAATACCATAGATTATCACTTGACTTTCATTTCACCTTGAAAACTGAAGAATACACTCGTATCAGGTCCGGAATAACACTCTTTCATGTTCTTGTAAGTACAGGGTATCCCTAGAAGGTATCTACAAAATATCAGCAGATATTCCTGATGGGGTCGGAATAAGCCGATTTGAATCAACTTACCTCAATCCGAAATTGTTTCATTTCCAGGTGAATTTAAAAAATAAAAATCGAAGTTCTCTTTGGGATGCGGAACCCAAATACGGACACATTAACACTGTGGCCTTCAGAGGGAGCTTATAACTTTTTCTCAATGAATTTATTCACTTTTTTGGTTGATGAAATTGGTTTTCATTATTTTTATTCTAGGCACCGGAATAATTTGCTGTTATCTTCGTGGATGTAATTGGGTGAGTGAATAAGTAGGGCAAAAATGGATCTTCCAAAATTCTTTCTCTGGATGTACTTGTTGATTTTTATTTTTGAAATTCACCACACTGTATCTAGGAAACGGAGCAATTTCGGACACAGGTAAGTTGCTTTATATCGGCTCATTTTGACCTCAGGACTATGTGCTAAGATTTTATACAGACCTTTTAGGGACACCCAGTATAGCTGACCTGGTATAACAATAGTATAGGAACTTGTTGAAAACGAATTTGACTTAATTTTGTGTAGATTTTATTTGCTTAATAATGAATTTGAATTCATGAAAATAGAACCCAACGAACAATAATCTCATGTGATGAACAGAGTGAAAGAATTAATTCGAGAAAAACTTACACCAGTCTTACGATCTTCTTAGTTATTCCGAATGGCGATCAGAGAAATGATGATTGTGATGCTAGGTCAGTTATTCTCAAAAGAAAATATAATAAACGCATCTCACTTCGGATACGAATTTATTCTTCAGTTTTTCGGGTTATGAGATTAGCAAATTTAAAAAAAATATGAATATTATATAATATATAAATAATATCTATCACGAGATAACTGAAATTGTACCAGAAACTTTCTCAAGATCCATAATATGACTCCCGAGTTCTGATAATCATCATACAGGGTGAGTTATTCTCACAATATTTCAACATTGAAAAAAATCATATTCTGGTGGTCCTGATAATTGGTTCGTTCAGAAGGCTACTTGTTGCATCACTTGAGTTCAATTCATGTACCAAATTTGAATGAAATCGGGAATAATCTCTTTAGTTAATATGACGGATTGAATTTATTGTCAAAATTCATAAATCACCCTGTATACCAATAATGAATCGTATGTATCATATTTGCAGTCTCTATAACCTCATGAGTTTAGTCGGTTCCATCTTTGGACAACCTATATACTGATGGGGCAATTATTGTTCCAGTTCCTCACCTTGATTGTTGTCAAATATTCATATGAACTTGATTCTGAGAATTCCTCAATCATGCCGTTAGAAGAAATCAATTTTTCTGAAAATATTACATATTAGATTGTAGAACAAAAGATGCATAATCCAACTCAGTTATATCAAAATTACCTCGATTTGTCACGTGATGAAGACTCAAGATATTGATCTTGATTTTGGAATGACAGTAATGGATGATTACTTGTATAAATTTGCAGCATATTGAACATGAAACACACACTAGATGGAAATACGTCTAGCACTTCATATCGTTGTAGCCAAAATCACTGTCATCAATGTGACCAATGTCAAATAATCAAAACCCACAGAGGAGAATATCTTTGAAACAGTAACATTATTTATTTATATTTATGTTGTATCATTACTAACATCATTGAAGGTTGGGAAGTGTCACGTTACACACCTCTACTTCCCGCCCCTCACTACTTTCCGCCCTCACTTTCCGCCCTCACTCATGTAATAATTCAGGTATGTTTAGAACGGAACATAGATTTATTGATTTTGATCAAAATATGATGGTTGTAAATGGAATAGTATACAAACCTCGGTAGAGAGTTTCATTCCTGTCTCGAGATTATAGCTAACCTCGACGCTTTGCGTATCGGTTAACTTACTAATCTCACATCAGGAATGAATCACTTCCCACCTCGGTGTGTAATATACTATTTCATGCCGATTCATTCCCTAATATCACACTTATGTCCCATGGATATCCTTAGGACGTCCTGTCGGGACATTCAGGACGTCCATAGGACGTGCGAATTTGGTACCGTGGGACGCACGAATGTCCCACTTGAGGACCAACTAGGGACGTCCTTGAGGGATGTCCCTGGGACTACTATCGAATACCTAAATCCTACAGTATTTCTCATCAAACACTACAGAGGACATCCTCAGGACATCCATAGGACAACCTATCAGGAACGCTGAGGGATATCAATTGGATGTCCATAGAATGTCCTAGGGACGTACGAATTATTCTCGAATTTTAATTGTTCTGGGTCCCTCTAGGACCAGATCTTGCATAATTAATTAGGACATCCAGTTGAGTTGATGAAGATCCCCAAAAAGTGTCCCAAGGATGTCCAATGGACTTACGTGACGGACATTGACGAGGAGTACTTATAGCCTACGATCAATCATTCGTCGGCGAGGTGTAAGTTAACGTCCTCGCAGGGACAACATATTGAATGTACCGACTGGGACGTCCATAGGACGTTATTCCTAGGACATTGGAAGAGTACAGTTCATGGACCAATTGGGACATCCGACGGATATCCCTAAGGGACATTTCTATTGTTATACGATCCTGGAAATATTAAGTGCGTCTGTGCAGAGATATTTGAAGGAATGTACTATCAGGGACATTTCATGGTTGTCTAGAAGGGACATTATATAAGATCTGAAATCATGTCAGAATGTGTACTACTCGGGAAATCCGAAGGAACGTTTAAAATCATATCCCATCAAGGACATGCCAAGGACGCCCTTGCATGGACATTCTACAATATGTACAACGTGGGACGTCTTAGCAATGCTATTTCTAGGACATTTGAAATGATGTACCAGCTGGGACATTCCGTGGACGTCGTTGCTCGGACATTCCATGAGATGTACGGGATGGGACATCCCAAGGACACTTATTTTTGGTTCGGGACATTCGGACGTGAATTGTACCAAATAGGAACGTCCCTAGGACGTTGTGTGCTATTAGGGTTATGATCATTCCTGAGTTTTTCATTGGTGTATAATTTTCCTTCCACTAATCACACCACCGTACAAGGAGTGCGCAGTGCGTTTGTCGGTCCACAACTGCACACATTTTCGAAAGGAGATCGTTATATCGTGCACTTTCGTGTTAGTGGAATTTTCTCAAGTATGACTCAGTATTGGGCTCAATGATTATTCTGTGACTTTTGTACAGTTGTACAAGTAGAGAGAAGGAGATCATAGATTGGAATAATCCTGGAAAAAGAGGATGATAACTACCTTCTTATACACAAAAATTCTTCGAAACTATAATAACACTTATCAACAAGATAATTATTCTTGAGTGTTTGTTCAAACATTGAATCAGTTTTGGATTCTTTTATAAAATCTGGTAGCAAATTATAAACGTGGAGCAATCTAGTCAGGAGATTCGAAAGCTAATTTGGTTTCTCCAAATGGTACAGAAACATTGTTTTTTTGCCTTGTATCAATATTATGTTTACATTTATTCAGTACAAACAATCTATTCCTATTCTCGAACACAGATAAGCACAAGTCAAAAATTAAAAGACTAGGGACAGTTAAAATTTTCGAATTTCTGAAAGCTGGTCTGCATGAATCAAAGAGACATTTCCACTGTTGATTCGTATGAGTTTTTTTTGGTGCTATGAAGACATCAGAGTAGCTAGAGGAAAAACCCCAGAAGGGGGCTTCAGCAGCTGATCATCATTTGAAACCTGCCTCAAATTCCTGAACTGATATAAAGTAGTGTCGATTTCTTTGATCAGAAAATCACAGTGATTCTGCCAATTTGAATGTTCATCAATGTGGAGACCTACAAATTTTAAGCTCTCACACTCTGTTGTTACAGTGTCAGAACTATCATCAGCTCCAAAGCTTCTAATATCACGCCTCCGTTGCCGATGATTGAACCTCATTAAATCTGTTTTTTTCGCGTTCAAAAACAAAACCATTTGTTGATATTTTCAAAAACTTTGTCACATTTTTATTTCAGAACTCAATCTAAGATGTCAGTAATTATAATTGACGTGTCGTCTGCATATATTGTTCTGAATGTTCCAGGAATTATATAATATATTCCAAATCAATAATATACAAAACAAACAATATGAGTCCCAATATCGACCCTTGAAGTATTCCTAATTCAGAAAAGACCATGCTGGGAGTTGCTTTGCTAATAGCGACGTACTGTTTTCTATAAGATTTGCTGTGGGTGCCTGGACACCAGGAAGTGGAGGGTAACGAGAAAGCCGACATCTTCGCCAAACAGGAAAGCGAATCTGTGTTCATAGGACCAGAACCATATTTTGGGGTCACCGCAAGTGCGGCGAAAACAACTATCTCGGGCTGGGCGGCGGGAAAAACACTCACGTACTGGTCTGAATTACCAGGATTAACTCATTCGAAGGCGTTCCTGCCTAAACCATCGGGAAAAATAACCAGGCAGATCCTAGAATGGAGCAGGGCGGGTAACCTGCGAATTCTGACTGGACTGCTTACGGGACACTGTCGTCTAAGATACCACCTGGGAAGGATGGGTCTGAACCAACAAACGGACTGTCGGTTTTGTTGTGTGGAAGACGAAACGGCTGAACACATATTATGTTCATGCTCTAGCTTAGAAAGACTAAGGTTCGACACATTTGGCTTCACCAATTCAGAACCTATCGATTTCAGACAAATCTCACCCAACTCAACCATGAACTTTGTAAAAAGATGTGGATTGTACAGTGAACTGTAACCTCTAGGGGTGAGCCACAATAGACCCATCTGGGGTCGCAGTGGAGGGGAAGTATTCGCCCCACTCACATGGAACCTATAAGAAAGATGGTCTATTATACATGCTAATGGAATACCCCGTAAGCCATAACGGAATAGTTTGTCTGAAAGAATCTTATGATCGACATAGTTGAATGCTCTGGTGAGATCACAGAATATCCCAACAGGGCACTCGCCTGCTTCATTATAGTTCACAATCTCTCTGTGACATTGATGTATAGCTATGGTCAGTCATCTCAGTCAGTCATATTACCCACCTCGACTTCAAGCTGGAACCCGTGCAATGACTGCACCGGCACCGGGTGCAGAAAAGTCCCGTAGGGGGAAGTGGAGAACTCCACGAGCAGCTCGTGTCCGCTGGAGACGGCCTGGGGAACGGCCTCTCCGCCGCCGCAGAACTTCAGAATCACTGGGTCCCTGGTGGTGTAGCCATCGTAAACGTTGACGTAGTCCTGCAAATAGGGTTGAAAATCTTTTAGATTTCCTACTTGAGAGTTTTATAAAATTGAATTAACTGCTGGTCAGATGAGCTGCAAATTTTCACACTGAATTCGACATTGTAATTTTTATGATAACTTTGCGAGAAGATGAGCTATAGGACTACGGGGGCAAAATTTTATGTATTTTTTGTAGAAGGTCATTCTGGTCGGAAGTAAACATCTATTGGGCAGGTGAACAATCTTAGTAGCTGATTGTAAAAAGCGTGTTCTGAGTAGGCGGAGCAATTTACTGATCTTGAGACAGTTCCTGAGAGAATGCTGTAAATTTTTTTTATTTTCTGGTTCTCACAGAAAGGGATATCCTGTAATGTTCACAGAACATCGTGAGAACCAAGGAAGATAAGGTAGGAATTGGTGTTCTTCTTGAATTCCTGGAGGTTATATGCCTCGGGGAACACCTCTCTTGGCAATATGTTCCAGAGCCTCGCTGTTCGTTGGATGAACGAGTCTTTGGGAAGAGATGTTCTGCAGGTCTCCAAAGTGACCACGAAGGGGTGCGAAGTCTCAACTTGACGGGTCAATCTCGCGAGGACTGCCAAGTGAGGAACAATTGTTGATATTTCAGAATAGCATCGACCATGAAAATATCTATGAAATGAGTTTGTGAGCGAGGCATCACCCACGAGACGAATTATCCATTTTTGAACAGAATTTGGCAGCTGATAGTGAAAAGTATGTTCTGAGTAGGCGGAGCAATTTATCGATCTTGAGAGAGTTTCTGAGAGCATAATGCGTACCCAATTGAGGCGATCCATATTACAGTGGAGTGTAGGCAATAGGACAGGGCGAAAATTCATACAGTCTACTCCACCAAGACTATACTTCAATGATAGCAATTCATAAAAGGGTCATGTTCCGAAGTGTCAAAGCTTCATCATCAGCAATAAGTTACATAGGAGCACTAAAGAGAAAGAACCGAGTATATTGTTCTTTCACTCCTCCTGATTTATATCACCTCCGATGTAAGTTATGGATAACCATGTTGGTGTGTTGGTGATATACAAGATATTTCATCATTAGTCTGAACATTTGCTTAGTGTTTCTTATCTCTCCTATCATTCGATTTCATCAAAATTTTCACAGTCACAATGCCACAAGCTCACCTGTACGTCATCGCAAGCGTCCCAGACCTTGAGCTGCCTTGGCGTAGCGGTCCCGTAGAGGGCAGATTGGCTGCGAATGGAAATGAGTTGGCCCTTGGGCTGTCGCACCGTTATTAAGGCATGTTTTCCTGAATCAAGAAAGGAGTGCTATAATAATTCATTATGCATAATATTATTATCATTAATAACTGACAATAGGTCGTGTGCATGATGACCGATCCTGGAGGAAAAATATTGAAACACAACTTCACTCTTCTGTGAATTATTGAAACACAACCTCACTTTTTTCATTAGTTTGAAGAGGAATCAGAGAATTGAAATAGTTCTTCACAATATTTTGGCATACGAGTCGTGTTTTTTGCGCTATTCATTGATTCGAGCATGCCTTCGCATTGTGCTGTTGTACAATGCATAAAAAATGCAGCGAGAGACGAAGGAGTATGATTTTTCAGGTAAATAGTAATCTCACAGAGTAATAATTATGAAATGTTGTCATTTCTTATTAATATTCCTCCTGCCACTTCTGCAATAGAAGTTATAATACTGATGCTAAGAGATTGAGAATGTCTAAAACACACATGATTAAATTTCGTCAGCATATCAGACGAGTCCTCCCGTTTGATTGCATGAATCCAATCAATTTTTTTAGAAATTTCACGAGTATTTCTATTAGCTCCAATTGCAGAAGGAATTCCGATGAGAAATCAGAGAAAATACCTAATTTCAAAAATGGAAACCATATGTGAGCGACTATAGTAGGTACTTACTTTCAAATCATAATGTACCAACCGGATTCCTTCGTCTTCCGCTGCAGTTTCTGTGCATTGTACAACAGCACAATGTAATGGCATGAACGAATTGATGAATAGCCGAAAAATACGATTCGTATGCAAAAATATTTGTGGAAAACCATTTCAATCACTTGTAAACAAATAAGAAAAGTGAGGTTGTGGTTCAATGTGGTGCCTCCAGTTCTTGCACGCAACCCATAAGAGCAGAGGCAGAGCTTATTATGCCAAAGAAGTATATATTTACATTACAGTACAGAGTGAGTGATATCGTTAAAACATAATAATCGAAAATATCGACAATAAGGGAGCTCAACACAATAGGTACACTCAGAAATTATAATACTGGAACGCGTCGAAGCCATTTTCGAAACTTTTCATGCTTGGAGCTGTCACAACCGCCTCTGGGAGCGAATTGCATAGCCCAAATACTCTATTGAAGAAAAATCTTTGCCTAACGGTGGACTTGAAGTTATCGCGTTTAAGCATTGTATGTCCCCTCAGCCTGGGGTCCGTGTTCAGCTCAAAGAATGTGTCGTGCAGTATGGGGTAGGTCAGAATAAAATCTCCTTTGGCTCGCCTGTCTTTGAGAAATGGAATCTTCAATCGGGTTAGTCTATATTCATAGGATAAGTGCCTGAGTGAGGGTACCATTCGAGTGACCAGACGTTGGGTTCTCTCTAAGAGTTGTATTTATTTCACTAGGTGTGGAGATCAGATTTGAACACCATACTCTAGGAGAGGAAGTATATACGACTTGTTTAGTTGACCAAATAGTTGCGGACTAGGATTGGTGAAACACTTGCGCAGTAGAAAGATGCGAGTGTTTGCTTTGTGTACAATATCTGTTACATGACCCGACCAGAAGAGTTTTTTATTGATGGTGATACCTATATCACGTTTGCTCGTCCACAGACGGTACTGTATTGTTGAATGAACGGTAGTTGTGGAAAGGATTGTTATTGCCAAGATGTTGTACACAACATTCGCTGTCATTCAAGGGGATGTCCCAGTCGAGAATCAGGATACACGAGTGCCTTATTTACTATATGTTACAGGAGAGTCTTGTTTTCGAGAGTCTCGCATGGTCTCGTCTCGTTTTCGAGACGAGACTCGGACAATACGAGACGAGACTTTTATTGGTCTTGTTTAAAGTCTTGTGCAAGACTTCTCGTGTCTAGTGCGAGAATCTCACAGGTAAATATTTCTGCGTGCCGACTGCAGACTTGAGAATTTCATCCATAATACAACATATTTAAAGAGAATTCAGACTATTTAACACATATAGACAAAACATTCTATTTTATTTTCATAACTTTCGAATATACAGGGTGGGTCACGGTAGATCGCACCTTAGACGTTTACGGAGAACGGGACATAATATCATTCTGAAAATTTGGTTACTCAAGTAATTGCTCCTGATCTATCAATCTAAAATATTGTCAGCTCTGCGGCGTTGCCGCTTCTATCGAAAAGTAGCAACAACTTTGTTATTTTGAATAGAACACCCTGTATTTTATTGCATCTTCAGATTTTCTTTGAAGAGCTGATTTCATCGATATATCACACTTGGGGTCTAGCGGAAATGATTACAGAGATATAGGGTGTGAAAAATCGACATTTTTCAACTTAAGGAATTTTTTTTGTCGAAACTATTCATCATTAGTCAAAACGGCTTACATGTCCCTATCTTAACTTTCGATTAATTATCTACTGATATTCAATTGGGACATATACCGGGTGATCAAAAGATCTGAATTCTGCACCACCCTGTATTTGTTTCAATTAAATGTCAGTAGATAGTTGATCAAAAGTTGGGATAGGGACATGTGAGCCGTTTTGACCAATAATGAATAGTTTCCACAAAAAAATTTGAAAAAAGTTAAAAGTTGAAAGTTGAAAAAGTTGAAAAATGTCGATTTTTCACACCCTATATCTCTGTAATCATTTCCGCTAGACCCCAAGTGTGATACATCGATGAAATCAGAGAGAATCTGAAAATGCGATAAAATACAGGGTGTTCCATTTAAGATATCAAAGTTGTTTCTACTCTTCGATAGAAGCGGCAACGCCGCAGAGCTGAAAATATTTTAGATCGATAGAACAAGAGCAATTACTTGAGTGACCAGATTTTTAGAATGATCTTATGTCCCGTTCTCCGTAAACGTCTAAGGTGCCATCGACCGTGACCGTGACCCTGTATAATGCTTTGTTTTTTTTTTCTCGTTTAGATGTATGATGTTAGTATGTACCTATATTAGGTACTCACTTTTCAATAAATAATGTAATTTTTGTTGTAATTTTCCCTTACCACTCCTACATATTATACCTGAGAAGTAGGTGAAGGTAAATATCCCGTACTAGACTGGAACAAGATTATATGCATGACGAAATTGCGATACATTTGCGAGACTCTCGTACGAGACGCGAGACAAGACGAGACTGGAGGCTGCGAGACGAGACCCGAGGCAGGACTTCATATTTCATCGGCGAGACGAGACGAGACTTTATGAAAGTCCCGTCTCATTGGTCTCGTGTGAATCACTAGATCATACCCACCTGGAGGTATCTCGTGCTGCCTGACGGCGTAGTAACAGGTGAGGTTGCGGGGATAGATCCCCGGGAAGTTGGGGGACTGGAGACGGCAGTGCTTCCTATCACAGTCGCTGAAGATGCGGGAGCAGTAGGTACCCGTTATCAGATCGCCCAAGTAGTATTCTGGTTCGGGGGCGGCAGTGTAGATCGACGGCTCCGTCGCGTTGGAGGCGGGTGGGGGGCCGGCGAGGGGAGGGCCTGAAAACATAATGGTGGATAAAAAATTATGGGATATCGATCTCGAACATACTTGAAGAATACTAGTCATACCCAATGGGCGCATGCTTGTAGGTATGTTGATTCAACATTGAATGAGTTTTAATTACGTCAATCAATGATTCCTCAACGTTGTTAATTTGATTAGGAAAATAACACCAATATGAAATATCGTTTGAATAACATATTCCCAACGTGAATATCTAACGTTAATAGATATGTTGAAAATACGAATTCTTGAACTACCTATATTATAGCTTTTGATTGAAAAATACGTTATTTCCCGCGACATTTCTACCCATTTACAATGAATGATTATCTTACCAGTTATTACAGTTTTCAACGTATAGAATATCTTTCAGAATATCACGTGTAAAATAATGATATTTGGTATAGGTGAATGGTATGTGAAGAGGAGAGTTTTCTCATATTTTTCACTTTCCGGTCTTTTCTGATTTCATCTAAAATGACTCCAGTTTCATTTTGTTTAATGAAACAACCTATTTATTGTAACATTCTTGGGTTCCTAAGATAATACTGAATCAGAACGTGACATTTTCAATATTTTCAGCGCTTACTTTATTTTTTTGAAGTCACATTTGATATTGCATGGAAATAACCTATTGAACACACACTCTTTTATGAAACTTCGAGTTACTGTTTTCCGTTTCCAACAATTCATTACATTGTGTTGATCTACCACCAATATTAAACGTTGGAGCGAAACGTTGATACTTTCAAGCACATTTTTATATTCAGAATGATAGTAAATTAATACAACAAATTATGGATCATTCCAACATCTGAAATTCACAAAGGTATTTATAACTTCTGTGTGTACTTGATACGTCGTTTCATCGTGAACTGTCAATGTTGAGAATTATCAAAAAATTTCTCATTCGAGAACATCTATTATTACGATGCGCCTCGCCTCGTGTGTCTTTTGTCCTATATATGTCGTATGTTTTCCCTGTTCTCTTGATCGGTAGCGGCGATGAATTCAACAGGATCTGCAATGGGTATAGTTATACATGAATAGCATAGCAAATACTTCAATATGAGAACTGATCGAATTCAATAACCTTTGCTCTTTTCCTTCGGGCGTGCAACAAAAGTTGAAAACAAGAAAGGTAGTGAATTTGTCAACATCTGAGTTAATCTTAGCTGATTTCAATAGTTTTTTTTATTTCTCTGTTACGTTCAAATATTTAACAATACGATCCAAGGAAATGACAATATCATTCAGAAAATAGGAAGGAGAAGGCATATTCCAGAAATTTGAGGTGCCGTCTGGGAAATACTAATGTAATTCGGTATGTCTGCTTTCTCTGCAGAATATTTATAACCGATATATCCTGTTCCGGCTGCGTGTGAACACTTCTGTCAGAAGAGAGATCGGTTATTATTCGTATACAAGTGGCTAGGTAGCCGCGAGGACAAAGCGTCAGTATTTTAATTGAACAAATACGCATGTTTGATGCGGTACACACTCGATCGCTCATGTAATGTATCAATTACCAAATGCTTAACCACCTAGAACATGTCTAACCCTGGGGAAAACTAACGCTTTTGAATCATTGTTGAAATATCCTAGGCTTCATCAGATTGACCGTGGGTTGATGAATGCAACTTTCATCTTGTGTTCTTGACTCACAATATCTCCTGACTCTTGAGGACATCTTTTGTGAGTCAGACTATACCTCTGATGGTGATCCGTGAAATCGCAAATGAAATACTGCATATTTCAAACATTCCATAACATTTCAAGCATTCCATGTCTAGTTCAGCGAGGCCAATCCTTATTATTTTTTGGATCCATCGTTTGAACTCTGAACCCTCTATTTTATTAAATCTAGCGAGAGATGGTGAACGAAAACAGTATTATGAAATGATATTGAATTTTCAGCAGCTGAAGAAGCCGTTGTATTTATATTGCTGGATTCTGTTTCCTCAAATGTCTCAATGTATTCTCTCTTCTAAAGTATTATATCCAGTGAAAGGATTGAATATCCACGAAGAGAAACAATCTGAATCAACAAAAATTTCGTGTCATAATATTCACATTGACGTTGTTGCCATACCGTAACAAAATACATAATGTTATTTCCGATGAGAAATTTATTCGATGTAACTTGTTATGGTTCCTACCAAACTGCGATAATTCGTTGAATAAACAAAGAATATTGCGCTCCTAGAATTCAATTTCTGCACAAAAATGAATATTTTTTTTTTCTGTAGTAGTCCATACTCAAAGTGGAGTGAAATGATCAAGAAAGAAAACTCAAAGTCGTCTCCACAATTTTAATGTCTAAAGAGGCAGTCAATCCTGCTTCAATAATGTTGATACATGTTTCAGCCATTCGAATGGCCATCTTCAGTCAAATTAGCAACATAATTCTGTTTGACATTGTTAACTCAATTGTGGACTCGTGGTGTTGCTCGGCAACACAATTTGGGGAACAATGAAGCGACAGAATTGTCTCGAATATCCAGAACATCCTGATATCACTAATGAAAATGTTCAGTTGGCGTATTTCAGTGGTACGCTATACTCACAGGGATGTACTGATAATTGTATGGTCAAAAGCGATCTGCTACGAATTTCTAATCAACTTGTTTGCAGGTAGTTCAATACTTTGTAATATACAGTGCTTTTCTTTAATGTCTTCCCCCCCCCCACTGTTATTTTTTGAACGGGTCAACTGCAAAAATTGAGACTTGGGGTGATGAAATTGGTGCATGAATACTATATTTTGGAGTAGAAAATTTCAAGATGGTGAAATTGAATGGAAAGGGAGGTCTTGTGACACATTATTTTGAAGCTCCTGACGAATACTTCACAACCCTAGAGAACAAGGTCAATATATTCATCTACTACAGAATGGCGGAACATTTAATAGTTGCAATAAAACAACATAATATCGTATGACAATCCCAACGACTCGATAAGGTTTCAGAGGATATTTTTTGTTTGTAAAAAAGACAAAAAATGTTAGTACGACAACAAACATCATGTTCTGTTGAAATATTTCCATCCAGTTTTTGGTTTTACTACATAGTAAATAGGTACCACGTAAACTATCTCTAAAATGGTCAATTCTCGTCCATTGGAAGAAAAAATCGGAGCTATTTTTATTTACGGTGCGACGCGTAACTTTCACGAAACCGAGAGAATTTTTAATGATCGTTTCCCAAATCATTCTATCTGTAGAAAATATTCAAGGGAACTTGTATCCACAACTACCGGTAGTGTACAGAACAAAAAGTCCGACCATTCCGGAAGAAGAGCAAGTTCAAATAATTGGTGAGATGATAGTAAATCCTCAATAGTCTACTTCCTTCGTCGTTAACATTTGTGAGGTGGGTCCTTCTACTGTGTGGAGAGTTTTGAGGAGGAATGAGTATCATCCATACAAAATCAAAATGGTACACCAGTTAACTGAAGATGTCCGTAATCGAGGAATAGAATTCTGCGAAATCATGATGGAAACCACTGCAAGGCATCCTTCCTATCACCAGAATATTTGTTTTAGTGACAAATGCACATTTTTTTCTCAACGGCAATGTTCACAGACAGAATTGCCGTTATTGGAGTGACACCAACCCGAACGTTTTCCGGGAAACTCATACTCAATATTCAGAAAAAATTAACGTTTGGGTAGGAATATTGGGAAACTATATTGTAGGACCTCTATTCATTGACCAAAACTGTATTTGAATATGCTGGAGGAAACTGTTGACTCTCTAATCACCGAAATCGTCGAAGCAAATCCTAATGAATTTGATATGGATATTGTAATCCAACAAGATGGAGCACCACCACATTACTCCAGACAAGTGAGAAACTATTTGGATGATACTTTTCATGGTCGTTGGATTGGTCGTATAGAGGTCCTACGGAATTGCCAGCCCGCTCGCCAGATTTGACACCTTCAGACTTCTTTTTATGGGGCTATTTGAAGCAGAAGGTGTACGAAACTGAACCTGCATCAATATTGGACACAGCGCATTAATAACGAATATTTGTAGAACTATCGACGTTACCGTGTTCGAGAATGTTCGGCGTGAAATATCGAATAGGCTGTTCTTATGTCAAGAAATTCAAGGCAACCATTCCGAGCATCTTCTGAACTGAAATCACCTTATTTTCTTGAAATATGAAGTTGAACGTCGAGGTATTGAGACAATTAATATATGTTCCGCCATTTTGTAGTAGATGGAGATATTGTCTTTATATTCAAGGGTTGTGAATTATTCGTCAGTAACTTCAAAATGATATGTCACAAGACCGGGGGTCTTGTGGAAAGGGGGTTTCCATTTGATTTTCTTATCCCAGATGGCGCCTAGTCGCCATCTTGAAATTTCCATTTGTCAATTCGACTTCAAAATATAGTATTGATGCACCAATTTTCATTTCTTTCAGTTGACCCGTTCAAAAAATAACTGGAGGGGGGGGGGTGACATTGAAGAAAAGCACAGTTATTATTGAAGTATCAATTCTGAAACAAATGTATCTAGGATAACAGGATTACAATGAATTGATGAATTTTGTTTGAGCACTCCACTGGCTCCAGATTCGCCATTCTGCGCTTCATTTAGGACCTTGTATATATGAATATTAGGAGGAAATTCAACCGATATTCCTGCATTTGGCGTTCCTATTCAATTTTCTTCACGATCCATTTTGATGGGGCTACTGCAGATCCCTTCTCAGCTTGAACCCTCGTTTGGAATTTTATAGATTGGGATATAAAATATATTATGAGGTGGCTGGAGAGATTAGCAAGAGCAAAGAATCCATGTGAAATTTGAGATAAAGAAAACAACAGGGTAGGCTTATGTGACGACTTATCATTAAAAATATCCATGAAATGAGTAATTCGATAAGACCATGAATTCTACAGCTTGTTTGCCCAATCGTTACACATAGGGCAACATAGCAAGACGCAAGAGACTCATTCTGCTCGAGGATTTCAGCTACC